GGCTAACAACCGGATAAAAAATACAAAATATCAGACTACAAATTTAAAACTTAATTAAAAGGCAAATATTAATAGTTGGTCTAATTAAAATTATTTTAAAACCCCCTCTAAAAATTTTCCCCTAGGCCAGTCCTGCGAGCTGGAATAACCATGTCTTAATGCCAGTTTAAGTAACATGAGTCAGCACATTGCTGAAAGACAGATTAAAAATGTCTTTTTCTGAGGTCATTTGTTTACAGGAATGAGAGAAGGGTGATGCATTTTCCTCTCCAAAAATTAATAATTAACCAGAGCAAACTTAAAAAAAAGATCCATTTGTATAAACTTGTGGTAAAGATCTCTGGTTTCAGGCAGGGATAACCCTGAAACTTCTTCTTCCTTGTGGTTTGTGGTTAGCTTTCAAAAATAATAATAATTAAACCTGCCCAGGATGTTTTGCCTTTTCTAAGCCTTTTTTGCAAGATCAAAGTATTTCTGAAAGCCGAGCTCATCTGAATTCGTTCTACGAAGGGCTAAAGGCTAGTCTGAAAAATCATCTTTAATTGCCAATTGTCCATCTCTTGGAAGCCCAAGCTGATGTCTCAGCAGCCCATGAGAAAAAACCGAAACCTGATCTTAAATTGCATGTGACTTTGTAGGTATCATCCACATATATTTCAGCTGACCTCGATTATTTTTCTAGTTCTGTTTTTCTTTCTTCTTTTCTTTCTTTCTTTTTTTTTTTTTAAAAAGTGTTGAGTGTTATGCTTGCTTAACAAACCCAGTCCAATAAAGGAGAATATTTGTAGCTCGGAGTTGAAATGAGGGGTCGACGGTGGTCTCTGAGCTTGGTGGTTTTCTTGCAGACGTTTCATGACCCAACTAGGGAACATCATCAGTGCTAGAAGGGAGGAAGAGGAGGAGGAGGAGGAGAAGAAGGAGAAAGAGAACTGTGGGGTCCTTGGTGCTCTCTGAGCTTGGTGGTTTTCTTGCAGACATTTCATGACCCAACTAGGGAACATCATCAGTGCTAGAAGGGAGGAAGAGGAGGAGGAGGAGGAGNCTTGGTGGTTTTCTTGCAGACATTTCATGACCCAACTAGGAAACATCATCAGTGCTAGAAGGGAGGAGGAGGAGAGTGAGGAGGAGGAAGAGGAAGATGACTATGGGGTCCTTGGTGCTCTTTGGTTTTCTTGCAGATGTTTCATGACCCAACTAGGGAACATCATCAGGGTTAGAAGGAAGGGGCATAGCGGAGAGGAGGAGGAGGAGGAGGAGGAGGAGGAGGATTGTGGGGTCCTTGGTGTTCTCTGAGCTTGGTGGTTTTTTTGCAAAAGTTTCATGGCCCAAATAGGTAACATCATCAGGGTTAGACGGAAGGGGTGGTTGTGGAGAGGAGGAGGAGAAGGAGGAGGAGGAGGATTGTGGATCCTTGGTGCTCTCTGAGTTTGGTGGGGTTTTTTGCAGACGTTTCATGACCCAACTAGATAACATCAGCAGGGCTAGTGATGTTACCTAGTTTGGATAATGAAACATCTGCAAGAAAACAACCAAGCTCATGGAGAGCCCCAAGGACCCCTCCAACCCAATCCATTTCATCTGAACAAACTCAGAAACTGGGATAATTCAGACACTCCATTTTAAAGGTGACATATGAGCGCCACCCTGGGTGACATTCCCTTTATCTTTTTTTTATGAGCCACGTTGGGACCCCTCGGGTTGAACCTTTTCTCCACCAGCTCTAGGAAAGGAAGCCAGAAAAATCACCCTTCATCTCCTCCCTCGGAAAAGCATCCTTTTGCAATTAAAATATTTTAAACTCGGAAGGAAAACAAAAATGCTACGCACGGTAGAATGGACTCTTGGCTCCAGGTGAGGCTTGAAACGCCATCCTAAAAGAAACATTATGAAGAAAAAGAAAGAGAGAAATTAAAGGAAGCTGGTAATCTTTGTGATTCACCCAGCTTTGAGATGATGACAATGAAAACGTTGGGGGTGATTAAAGTAATTGGGGCCTTGATGAACCCTGCCGAATTTGAAGATGGGATAATTATGAATTAATGAAGGCCAAGGGGAAGGATTTGGAGGCGTATATAAGCCGTTGGACCCTCTGCAGTTCTCAAACGGCTTCAGACCTCACCTGACTCAGGTAAGCTTCTCTTGGGCACAACGAACCTTTGCTGAAATTTATTTGCAACTGAACTCGACCGAAATTTAATCGCGCTCTTGGGAGGAATCGATGCCTTTCTTATTTTTCCACGGAAGAGCTTGATTTCCCAGGTTTTAGGAGGAAACTCTGGAACAAGGCTGGATAAATTTGGATGCTCAGCTCAGGATGGGAATTTAAAGATGGCGCTTATCGCCCTAGTCCTTCTTTTCTCTAGACTGGCTTCCCAAGGAGAAGCGAAGAAGCAAAAAGCAAGGGGATTGGGTTGGGTTGGCCAAGAAACCTGCAGATGATAATGGTCTTCACGTATATTGTAACCATGGTTCTCCTCTTGGGTTCTTTCAGCTCATCTCCACCACTCCATCACTATGGCTCTCTGTGGACCATCCTGTGCCATTCCATCTTGTGCCTCCACCCCATCGGTTGGGTTCGGATCTGCCGGTGTGGGAGGCCTGCCCCCCAGAAGCCTGGGTCTCCGTCCTTTCCCCTCGGCTGAGTCTTCAAGCAGCCTGGGCACCTTGCAAGGCATCATCCCTTCCTGCATCAACCAGATCCCACCATCTGAGGTGACCATCCAGCCCTCCGCAGTTGTGGTCACCATCCCTGGTCCCATCCTGTCTGCCAGCTGTGAGCCCGTTGCCGTCGGAGGCAACACACCATGTGCTGTTGGTGGCCAAGGCCAAGGGTTGCCCACCGGTCTTCTAGGAGCTGGTGCGCTTGGGTCTCGCCCTGGTCGCCATTATAGCTTCGTGGGGCAAAGAGGCAGCATCTGCTATTCTCCTTGTTAAACTCATCTGAGTGACCAACCGAAGGACGAATGGAAGATTGAAGGGCCCTGAATTCTGATCAGGGTCTGCGTATGTCATTCTGGGCTCTGCTTTCAGTGATCTTTTCTGATTTATCCCTGCAGCTTAGGAACCGAGCCTCTAAAAATAGTTTATGCTTTCAAAATAGTTCCTTTTGTTGAATTGGGACTTCATTATGATGGAGACAATGAAGAATGTTCTATAGAGATGAACCTTCTCCCTTTCTCATCCCACCAAAGCTGCTTGCTTGTTTTCTTGTCCTTAATCTCTGCAAAACCCTGTTGGCCGTAGTTTATTCCCATGTGCTACTCTTTCTTAATAAACTCTCCTTGGCATCGTAACAAGTCTTTGACTCCTTCTTTAGAAGACTCACTGGTTGGCTTTGGCCAACGGGCTGAAGAAATGGACTCGTTCTTCCTGGTTCAAATAATATATTGAAAAGAAACTAGCCACTTATCCAAAATATGCAAGCCAAGTTTGATGTGTTGGGCTTAACAGCCAATCCCTAAACTTTTCCTAGCCTGTGGACCTCCTTGCCATTAGAAGATCTTCTAGCTCAGGGGTTTTCAAACTTGGCCCTTTTATGACTTGTGGACTTCAACTCCCAGAATTCCTCAGCCAGGGCCAAGTTTGAAGACCCCTGCTCTAGCTCCTCCTCCAATGATGGACAGGAGGAGGAAACATCAAGATTGGGAATCTTTTACCTCTAATAGGATTTCTGGTTGGTTATCCTTAAGAAGGAGGAAGAAAAATGAAAGAGACTGAAGAAAATTTAGGAGAAAGGAATATTTTAGCATTTACTCATTGGGATCTGTAGACTGGGATTGCTTTGGCTTGGTCAACAAACTCTGGTTAAAAAAAACTAAAATTTCCTTTTCAACTTCAGCAAACAATTGGCAGATGATTTGAACGTTTTATTGTATTGGCGATGATTTAAAAAGAACAAGAAAAGAAACTCAATATGTATTGGCTTTTTTTTTTAAAAAAAAATGTTGCTTTGATGGGAAGCCGTTCACAAAGAGAAGAGTTGTGTTGGGACACTTTCAGAATGGAGATAATCAGTGAAGGGTTACTTGGGTGTGAGGTTTCTTTCTGCAGGACCAGAGTTTGAACGTCAGGCTAAATTAAAACATCTTCCTCCCTCTTTTAAATAAACTTCCAGTGTATAATGGTTTATATGAAGCTGACTTAGCAGCTTGAGTCCACTAAGGGGCGACAAAAAGCTTTGCTCGGGAAAGGTTGAAGGTTTTTGCAGTGCTGTATAAGCATGAATGAAATAAGAAAGAGAAGGGAGGATGAGAGAAAGGTAAAAAGAGTAGAGATGGAGGGAGAGAGGGAGGAAAAGAGAAGGAAGGAGAAAAGAGGGAGGGAGGGAGAGAGGAAGGAAGGAAGAAAAAGGAAGGAAGGAAGGAAGGAAGGAAGGAAGGAAGGAAGGAAGGAAGGAAGGAAGGAAAAGGGATAATGTGGCTTGTTTAATTGTGGATGTATGTATTGTATGAACTCAGGCCTTCTGATTGGAAATGGAATCACACAATCAACGAACTGCTCCACCCACCATGACTTATTCATCAGAAGAGGAACCTCAGCCACCCCTCTCTTTCCAGGCTTACCTACATGGAGAAAACCTCCATGGTCACCAAGACAAGACTTTCCCCATCTCCAAATTAACACCAAACAAGAGCCACTGGTTTATAATGCAGAATAACATTTATTCAGGGGCAAAGAAAGAATATTGGGACGAGCCATTAGGTCTTCCAAAGCAAAGAATGTCTCTCCTTTGTCAAATAATTTCACAGGGCGCAGAGGACCCGAAGTGTCCTAGATGTTGGCAGAGCTTCTTTCCTTCCAACTTCACATGAAGCTCTGGACTGAATCGATTTAGGAGGAGGCTAATGGTGTTGGAAGCCCAGAAGAGGACACAAGCAATGGGGTAAAACTAGAGTAGGAAGAAGAGAGTCGTAAAAGCCACGGGCAGTCCAGAACAGGGCTCAGGTACGCCTTAGCCAATCTTCTGAAATCCGTTTTGGTCAGGGAGAGTCCAGGTTCACTTAACAAGGGAGGGTGCAGATGCTACCTCTGCGACCGAGAGAGCAGATGCTTCCACGGCGACCGAAACGTCCCAGGCGGCCTCCATAGTAACCGCCACCGAAGCGTCTGAAACCTCCAGGGGCACATGGAGTGTTGCCTCCAACGGCGACGGGCTCACAGCTGGCGGAGAGGATGGGACCAGGGAGGGTGACCACAACTGCAGGGGGCTGGATGGTCACCTCAGATGCTGGGATCTGGTTGATGCAGGAGGGGATGACTCCGGCCAGGGTGCCCAGGCTTCGTGAGCTTTCGACCAAGGCACCGGATCCGTAGCCATAGCCCAAACCATAACCAAGACCTCCATAGCCGTGGCCCCAGCCTTGGCCCCAGCCATAGCCCAAACCGCCCCCATAACCCAAACCGTAACCTCCATAGCCGAGACCACAGCCAAGACCCTTGGAACCGGCTGATCCGAAACCAACAACTGGGGCGGATGCACAAGATGGCACAGCACAAGCGGGTCCACAATAAGCCATGGCTGGATGGATGGAAGAGCTGTTGGAAGAAAAACAACGATGGGTTTTGTGATTCACACACAGAGCATGAATTGCATCAAAAACAAAAAACCAGAAGACTCTTCCTGGTATCATGGACAGATGGTCTTCAACGCACAACCTCAGTTGAGACTGTCATAAATACATCTAGTTGCCAAACACCCAACTTTTGATCACATGACTCTGGGGGTGTTGCTGTGATGGTCGTTAGTCCGAGGACCAGTCACAAGGCACTTTTTTCCGCAACATCGTAACAACAATGTTACAACAACAATTTTTAGTCTGCCATTAGGCGGATCACAAAGTGGACCATATTTAGTGGACAGTGACTTCCTGCCTTGATGGAAAGCTGTATGATAGCTGTTCCACAGTTGTGTAAATCTGAAAAGGTTTTGTTAATATTTGAATGAAATAGAGGTAGGTATATATCTCATTCTGAGAGCAAACATGTTTTCTGAATGCTGCTTTAAGGTTAGAATGAAACATTCATCTAGGCTCTTCCTAAGAGGAGACAGAATTGTTTGATCCTTCCTTCCTTCCTTCCTTCCTTCCTTCCTTCCTTCCTTCCTTCCTTCCTTCCTTCCTTCCAAATCAGATTCTGAGTAGAATATACTGTATTGTAAATCTTCCATGCCACCCCAATTCTTGAAACAAAGAGCAAAAACAGCTAAGAAAGGCGTCTGAAGTGCAGGGGACTCACCAGAGAGACTCTTAGAGAAGCAGTCAAGAGGAGCAGATGAAGCTGATGGAAGCTCTCGGCCTGAGAAGCTCTTTTATACTGTTTTTCTGTCCCCACCGCTCGCTTACGGACGCCCCTTTTTGCCTCAGGGTTTCATTAACAAGACGTTTGTACACAGTCTCATCGCTTTACCTCAAATTACTTTAATAAGATGAAATAAACATGAATTGAAGACTTGGCGCTTGGTCAACCTCATGTGACATAGTTGTCATTTTGATCTTATCTCCGTTTCCTCTTTTCTTCTTTTGTTCTTTCCGTGGAGATAAACGCTGAGCACAAAGCGGCATTCATATTCCTTGTTTATCATTTCAAATTTCAAATTTTTCATTTAATTATTCCATTGCTACCAACGCTTCTCTCTCTCCTCATCCCTGTTGCATCAGGAACAGCGATTAAGCATCAGCAGAATCACTGATCTGATCTTCCACAACCTTTAACAGCATTATTCAATAAAGATTGGTTTGATTTTTTATTCAGTCTGTTCATTTAGAGGATAGAGGACAGGGTTTGGAGAGAAAGGGAGAAAAAGAGAGTATCAGAGAGAAAAGGGAGAGAGGGAAGGAGAGGGAGGAAGAGGGGGAGAGACGGGGAAAGAGGAGGAGAGAGAGGGAGAGAGGAATCAACAGATTGCTATATGAAATTTGTAGGCTTTCATAGAAGGACTTCAAAGAGTGCTTGGACGATTAACTGCTGGAGATGCTGCAGTAGATCCTATATGAACAGGGAGTAGGAATAAAGAAGTCCCTTCCAACTCTATGATTCTGGGAAATAAAGACGGTATATGCCCTGATAAGTCATATTAACTACGGTTTATTAAGAAACCATGGATAGCAGGGCTCGGAAATCTGTGACCCAAAACAGTAAGTAAACTGAGGAATAACTGGTACTATGATTCCTGCTGTCACCACTATCAATACCACACAGCTTGACTGCTACACTTTACTCAGCATGGGGCTGTCCTTGAAGATGGTTCCAAGAGTACAGAATCCCAGGCTGCCAGTAGGTTGAGCAGCATTCTTTGATCACCGCATGGGTCAAAGTCTTCTGGACCAAACTCCAAGCCCATGTTATGATAGCCCTGGGTGACAGAGCTTAGATCTTCATCAAGAACCATCTCCCCCCAAAATAATTCCATGGGAACGAGGGGCTGGTCTTAGAATTCCTCTGATCTTCACACCACTCCAAATGTGCTCTAGAACACCTACATTTTTATGGCTCTTTGAAAGCTTACTTTGATTGAAATATTTGGGATAAACAGGTTGGAATGAAGACCATCTTGGAGAAGGTTGAACACTGAGGTTATGGAGCTGACATTCAATTGGTGATGGGACCTTCAGGATGCTTTATCCTCCAGACATTATTGCAGTGTAGATTCAACCCAGAGCAGGTGGTTTCAGGTACAAACTGAGTTTGGGTTACTAGTTTTCAACAAGACCTTGGGAATGTTACTTTTCCCATTTTCCCATGTATTGGGTAGATTCAGGGATACCTACAGAATCACAAGTTCTCCGCCTTGAAGTCAAAGTTATCCGTGAGTCTCTGTGCTGATTCAAGGAAAAGTTGCCATTTTTTGCGGAGTTGCTACTGAGGACAATCACCCAGCTTTGATCTTACCGTCATCTCCACCTGTGGGTGTTGCTCATTTCCAAGATCAGATAAACATTTGGCTTGAGGCCAACAAACTTGAAAGGGAGCACAGAAGAAATCATTTTATTTTATTTATGGTGACACGATTAATGCACCTCACAGTGACGATGTGACAATTTGTGCTGAGCGAAGTCCTTTTTTTTCTTCTTTTAAACGCCGGAAAAGAAAATTGTAGGAAGCCAAATGAAAATTTATGAGTCCCAACTTCCTGGGGACGCCATCCAAATCGTATAAAAGCTCCCTCTGCTCTCTGCAGTACCATCAGCTTCTGGTTGACTCTCCTGTCTTCACTACTTCTCTCCAAAGAAGGTAAGACTATCTACTCAGAGAGAATCCCTCCTGGTTGAGAGCAGATGAAGTAGATCTTCAAGCCAAAATCTGAGATTCTTCAAGACATTCGCCAGATGACACGCTAGAAGGCTTCTGAATGTCTCTGCTTTCAGGACCGGCTTCTAGGTTTTCTCTTTAAGGACCAGGAAGACATCATTTTGAGTTTCTTCCTTCTTCTCAACCATCTCTCTTTGGCTCACCATCCTAAGATAACAGACTTTATGGTTAGGGCTTTGAGAGCAAGCCAACCTTTTTGAGATAGCTTGGATATCTCATGCTTATAAAATCCAGGTTGTAATGACAAATGTTTGAGGGTCACCGATTAACCTAACTCTTTGCTAGAATGACACATTGGGACCCAACCTTGACTTTTCACTCAGAGGTCATGAAACCAGTTGAGAAATCGAGATCTAGTCTTAGTTTTGGAGAAGATGGCAAGAAAAATATGGGAGGAGCTTTCACCTGATCTCCTTGAGGTTTGGCCACCAGCTGACCCAAGGAAGAAGCCCACTCCTCGGCCTTAAACAAAAGTATATGGTGCAGAGATGGACTAATATTCATGAAGTATTTTTATGCTTGGTGGAGTCAGGAGACATAGAAATGTAGGTTTCTCCTCCTTCATATCCAAGGTGAAAACAACGGAGCTTTTGATTTGATGTTGAATCTTGATGACTTCAACCATGCATTTTTCTCGGCAGGGTTAAAATAGTAGATTGCCTCTTGTTTCTTCTAGAACATTTTTTTTTTACTTCTTCCTCTATTCAGAGGAAGTCAAGGGCCATCATATTGAGTCCAAAGTGGGCTTCAAAAATGATGGAATAGTGGAGAGAAAACCAAGTCTTCTCTTCTTCTCCCCTCTAATAAAAACAAGGGTTGATTTTCCAGGTCTCCCTTCCAAATTCCATGCCTCTCCTGGTGAATTTCTTGGCTAGTTTAGGTTGAAGAAGCCTAAGAAGTTAGTTCAACTCAGTTCTAGCTAATCTTGTTGAAGTATCTGCCGGTTGAAGGAAGACACTGGAGACGGAGTGGGCAAAATGAATGCAATTCTCACAATGTTTCTCCTTTTTTTATGCTAGACTTACTTTGCAACTCAACGCAATGGCCTACTGTGGACCTGCTTGCGCTGTGCCATCTTGTGCATCTGCCCCAGTTGTTGGCTTCGGATCATCTGGTTCCAAAGGTCTTGGTTGGGGTCTCGGCCATGCAGGTCTTGGCTATGGTTTGGGTTATGGCCACGGTTGGGGCTATGGCTACGGACCTGGTGCCTTGGTCGAAAGCTCAAGAAGCCTGGGAACCCTGGCTGGAGTCATCCCCTCCTGCATCAACCAGATCCCAGCATCCGAGGTGACCATCCAGCCTCCTTCATCCGTGGTGACCATCCCTGGTCCCATCCTCTCTGCCAGCTGTGAGCCCGTCGCCGTTGGAGGCAACACCCCATGTGCCATCTCTGGTTACGGGCGGAGAGGAAGCTGGGGCTATGGAGATCTTGGCTTCAGGGGTTATGGTGGTCTTCTTGGCAAAAGGTATCCATGGAACCGTAGAGGAAGCATCTGCTTGAGCCGTCGTGGTAGCATCTGCCTGTAGATGGATGAAATTGGCACGGACGACCCTTCCAGATATCATGACGGTGTTGGACTCACTTCTCTTGTTGGTTTTCTTTAAAATGCTCAGGTTCCCTCCCTCTTTGCATACATATATGTTATATATAAAACATGCCTTCAGCAGCTCTTGCGTGACTCTTAATGTCACTTCTCTGTGTTTTCCAATAAAAAGAAATGTGCTTCAAACCCACGTCTCTGTCTTCCTTTGATCTCCATCCTTTGTGGCATGGGTTGCAGTGAATTAAATTTCCACGAGGTCATGGATTATTGCCTTTCAAAGCCATGTCTGCCTTCAGACAACCGTTAACTTAAAGAACTTAAGAAGTGTTCAGATGAGCCAAGTCAAGGCTAAAACATATAATGAACGGTTGCTGGAATTGGGTATGTCTAGTTTAACGAAGAGAAGGACGAGGGGGGACATGATAGCTGTGTTCCAATATCTCAGAGGCTGCCACAAAGAAGAGGGAGTCAAGCTATTCTCCAAAGGGCCTGAAGGCAGGACAAGAAGCAATGGATGGAATCTAACCAAAGAGAGAAGCAACCTGGAACTAAGGAGAAATTTCCTGACAGTTGAAACAATTAACCAGTGGAACCACCTGCCTCCAGAAGCTGTGAATGCTCCAACACTGGAATTTTTAAGAAGAGATTGGACAGCCATGTGTCTG